CCCCAAAACCCCAAAACCCCAAAACCCCAAAACCCCTATTATCAAAGTTCCTACTGAATCAGATTATACTTTATTTTTTGAAGATTTGGAGAATGCTATTAACAATTTTTTATTCTTTTTTAGCTTCAAGTTGGGCATCCAGGAACTCAATTATGCTTTTGTACCATTCTTTGATCTTTAAACCACACAGTCTTTTGAAGACAAACATTGCGCCGAAGATTTTTGGGTCTGCCTGTGCAAAGCTCTCGTATTTAGTCCTTCCATCCTTCAATTGCTTGAGTCTTAAGACACCTATTTGTATTATAAGCTGGCTTACAGAATAGATTTGTTGCTCTGACTATCCCTTTCTCTTCTTCATAAAAAGAGTCAGGCACTGAGCTACTGTAGATGTAGGTATCTATATTTCCTGACTTATTCTTGACCTTGAGAATTATCTTATTTTTCTAAAATATCTCTTGGACTATACGAAATTAGATAACTCAGCAGCTGAGCTTACCTGATCACTGGCATTTTCTTTGTCTTTGTTCTCCTAATGTAAGCATTTTTGGCAATTCTTTCAACAAATTGGGTCTCTGCTATATTTTTATCCCATTTCAGCCTGGAAGAAGTGTTCTGGATAGCATCCACTACCATTTCATGAGGATATTTAGAGCTCATCCAGCCTTCCACATGCACTCAGAGATGTTTTCTAGAAATTTAAATGAAAATATACTTTGAATATGGTGATCCTTCAGGAGAGTTCCATCATTTTGTTTCAGGTCTATCTCACCTGATCGTCCATTCTTCTTGCTCGAACTTATGTTTCATCATGTTGAAGAAGTTTATGATATAGTCTTTATCAATTTTCTTCCCGGTCTCATACTCGTTCAAATATTTGGGATCGATTCATTCGAGGTTCTCGAACCAGTCAAAATCTTCTGCCTTCTTTGTAGGCATAATGGACACTAGAATTAACATAAATAATTACTATTTTCACTATACATTTTGGTGATGTGAGAATTCACAGTTTCATTCTCTGACAATAGCACTAAAATATTAATATTCACTTCTTACTCTGCTCAAGAGTTTTAATCTGAGGTATTTTGTTATGTTTGGGTTCTCCACATGACTTTAAGGGAACTCCGAAACTTTTTGAGCTAAACCTTTCAGACTCTGCTTCGGACTCAATGTATACGAAATTATCTGCGAATGAGACGAATTCCTCCTCCTCTCCCGTAAAGAGAGATTCTTTCTCAGCTTTCCTATACTCTGCATTTGATAAACTATCGTCCTTGCGATAATAACCTGGCTTTGATAATCAATAATCAATATTGAGGCCTTCATAAGAGAAGGCACTCCTCCTCTCATATTCTAATTGATATTAAATCAAATAACAAAGGAGAATAGAAAAGTTCTGAGGTGGCAACACCATAATAATTTAGAGACAAGACAGGACTAGCTTCCCAAATTACACCAGATTGCTCTGGTAAGATAGACAACTTACCGTCTCTTTGGAGTTTTGTATCTTCATATTTGACAATATCCATGCCATCTTTCTCAAGTCATTTAACATGACTACGCATCTTAACTCAGCAGGTGTTGTTTCCCATTATTTTATAATAGAATTTTCCCTTTCAAATTAAATATTATCCGAAGGGGTTTTGGGGTTTTGGGGTTTTGGGGTTTTGGGG